ATGATTGGATGGTATGATTTTTGCATTGTGTCCTAATAAAATGATGTGAAAAAATTTTTGGACAAAAATTTAATGTGAATAAAAAAAGGAAGATAAAATACAGAATTGAGAGAAACAGCTCCAAACATAAAAGATTAACATGGACCCATTAGCAAGATTGGAGAAATGAGTTGTTATCACAGAAGCTGGAGCTGGGAGATTTCAATAATACCAAACACTGCAACTTGCTCAGGAATATAATTAGAAAACATCCTTTAGGGACAGTCAGAATTTGGGTATGACTTTAGTGAAAAAGGGCAGGGAAAATATAGGAGAGAACCAGGTAGAACAATTTCCAATCTTATACCCTCCTCCACTTCATTTGGAAAGATGCCCATATCTCTTGGACACTTAAGGTTCAGTCTCCTTGGTTTACTATTTATTCTCTGATTAAACTTTCCTCTTTTGCACTCCCAAGCCTTTACTCATGTGGTTCCCTCATGCTAATGATCTCGCTAGCTACTCATCATGCAAGGTCCGTCTGAGATGGCACTCAGTTGAGAACTATTTCTTTCTCGCTTCTGGCCCTCTTCCTCACTTCCTACATGACTTTATCTCTTTGATAATGCCTATGATAGCTCAACTCTAGTTCAGTGGTTCTCAACCTTCCTAATGCTGCAACCCTTTAATACAGTTCCTCATGTTGTGGTGACCCCCCAACCATAAAATTATTTTCGTTGCTACTTCATAACTGTAATTTTACTACTGTTGTGAATTGGGCCACCCCTGTGAAAGGGTCGTTCAACTCCCAAAGGGGTCGCGACCCACAGGTTGAGAATCACTGCTCTATTTAGTAAAACTTATTGTCAAGAGCCACTTCTCCTATCTACAAATGTCTCATTTCTATTTGGCGCAAATCGTGGGCTCCTTCATGCCTATTGTCTCATCCCATGCCCTGTACATGATCTGTACTTAACCAATTAAGTTATACTTAACAACAGGAGCAAATACAAGTTAAAGAAATATGCAATTTTAACAAATAATTTCATATTGAGTTGATGGGTCAGTTTTCTGTGAGTAACTTAAAAGTTATATATATATGATTCTTAATTAAAAGATATTTAATCAAGTTATAATTAGTTTGCACTTAATTGTCAAATGTATTGGCAAGGCAACTAAGTTTCATGTATGCCAGGAAGGAAAGAAATACACAAATTTATTTAAAGGGACTAAGATAGTCTTCATAGGAGAAGTCAGATTCAGTTTAAAGATTAATAGAATTGGAAAAGGAATGGAAAGATGAAAGATCATGAGCAGGTTTATTGAATCAAAGCTGAACAGTAGAATAGTGAAGTGATGAGAATGGATTAGGTTTGAAAAATGGAGGATTATTAAAAATTTTTGAAATTGGGAGCAGCTTTTCAAAAATAATTTATTCATCAAATATTTGTTCAGCACTTCAATATGCCAAACAGTACTCAAGATGTTGGGAATATAATAGTGAACAAATCAAAGAAAATTCCTATTCTCTTAAAACTATAATCTAATGATGGTGCTGGATTATACAAATATAACATATAATTATATAATATGTTGAGGAGTAATTAATGATATAACAGCAAAAAGAAAGAAAATAGTCCCAACAATGAGGATTACAAGAAACATAGGAGAGCAAGTTCAGTAATTAATTCATTGAGAGTACACAGTATTATCAGTTATCTGATGAGGACTTGAGGTGCATGGGGACCAATTCAATTCCCATAGTAAAAAAATTGTTGCCCCTGACTGGGCTCATCGTGCGGTTTCATCTTTTCTTCACCATTTCCAAATTAAATTTGATAAGCCACATTAAACATACTTCCTCTAATAAGTGGTCAAGCCAATCTGAGACACTTTTCTACCCATTTTATATGTAGTGCAGGAATTTTTGGTGGCATGATTTTAAAAGTATATAAGTTACATAAAAAACAAACTGATGATTATCATACCCTTTAGTGAAGGTCATTTGCTTTAACCATAGTGACTTAACAGAGGATCTTTAATTAATGCCACATCATTTCTGTGCTTTGAGTGCTGAATCTCCCCACAGAAATACATTTATGTAAATTCAAGAAAATCCCTCTAGAATTGGATCCAAAACAAACTTGGTAGTGTAATTATAGTTACTGATCTATTAGTAATCTCCTAGATTCTCATTCTTTTAATCCCAAATGTTTTAGAGACCAAGATTTATATCCAGAAATTCTATTAACCCTAATACCATGAGGCAAGCAACACAATGTAACAATCCCTTTTCAGAGAAACCCAGGTAAAAGAAAGGTTCTAGTTTATTTTTAGTTTTAATATTGATATCTATAAATATCTATTTCTCAAATTTTATTATTTTCATTATTCTTATATGTAAACTCATTCATTATTATTCTAGCTTTTCTATGAATTGAAGATTGTGGGGAGCTAGGATGAAACATATTGCTGCAATTCACCCTGACTTCTTAGAATTATAAGATAGAATTTCAAACTGTACAGTTAAGGGAACAAAATAATTCCATTAAATAATTCAGGTACTTGTATGTAAAGTTATTTCTAATTTAGGGTAATAAATTGATGGTTTATATTTAATATTTTAATTAAGAAATAAAATGCTTGCCAGTCTCTATCTTTTGATATTTATGAAAAAGTTAAATTCCATGTTATGTAAAAAGATATTCATTTGGACCATAGAAGCAAAATAATTAACATCTTCAGTTGGGATGACCTACTGCTATCCCTAGATAATGAGGGAGATAACCATTTTTCTTTTATTTTTATTAAATCATTTTATTGGGCACTCGTACAACTCTTATCACAATCTATACACACATACATTGTGCCAAGCAGATTTGAACATTTGTTGCCATCATCATTCTCAAAAAATTTGCTTCCTACTTGAACCCCTGATATCAGCTCCTCATTTTTCCCCCTCTGTCCCTGCTCCCCCCAAGAGACAACCTTTTAAAGGAAAACAAAAATTAGTTTTAAGAGTCCTCAGAGTATTTAAAGGGTTTTCTCTTTTAGAAGTGTTAGTAAAATAAAGTATAAAGGCAAAAAACTCTCACTGCCATTGAGTAGCTGCTGACTCTTAGTGACAGGGTAGAACTGCTGTGTGGGTTTTTGAGACTGAGACTCTTTATGTGAGTAGAAAGTCCCATCATTCCCCAGCAGAGCTGCTACTGGTTTTGAACAGTGTACCTTGTGGTCAATGCATAACTGCTGGCACCAGGGATCCTAAAGCTTCCTTTAGAGTATTAATTTATACGCTATTGTGATATCATGCAGAAAATTTTATAATATTCCAAAGAAATATAGTAGAAAAGATTGCACAATTATATTAATCTGATTAGTGCCACTAAATTATATATTCAAAAATATTTTAAATTGGCAGGTTCTCTGTGATACATAGTTTGACAGCCTAAAAGTATCACTAATAAAACAATATCTTATTTTCAAATAAAGTTATGAATAATTTCCTTTGTAGTCTCTTCTTCAGAGTTAACCATTTCAGTTCGCTGAGGAGAACACCCGGTATTATTGGTAGGGCACTGAAAAGAAGTTCACTTATCTCAGGGGATCAGATGGAAGCTAAGCCGTGAATCAAATCTACCTTTTCACAATAGCAATTTACAACACTCTTCAAAGATGTATAAATCAAACTTAATCACAAATGCCTAGAATCTATGAAAAAGTTTTGTTTATATATGTTTTTAAGCAATTCGATAGCTGAAACACTAGATAATGTTGGTATTTAACATATGCTTAAGAACTCAGAAAATGGAGATCAGTGTGGTCTGGGTTATTTAGTTAGAACATTTTTAAGTAGCACTATATAAAAACTATGCCTTAAATAAATAATTAAAAGGATGTAGATATTTGGTCAGCTTGCCAAATATTAATATTTAGAATAGTGACTTGAAAAAAAAATCGCCTGGCAGAGTCAGTATTTATGGAAACCCATGAGTGTGGTGCTGCGGTTGCGGGTTAAGGGAGTGCAACGATGGTTGGATACAGTGAGAAAGCCAGAAAGACACTGGTGAATGTGGGCACTAAGGGTGGATTTGGATCAGGTTTCATCCTAAAGAATTTTAATTTATCTTAGCAACAACTACTACTGAATTCTACTTGTCTGTAGAACATTATTTCTGGAAATATCATAAAGTGATGATTACTCTGCTCCTATTAAGATAAATAGACACAGAAATGATCAGGAAAATGTGACCTTAAATAAATAATTAGGAAACTTCCATTTGATAAGAAACTGAATACAGAGGATACAAAATGGATGTTTATGAAATCCAATATGTTTGTAGTTATAATACTATTATCTCCAGATATCCAAATGTGCGCTGGTGGAGTAGCAGTTGTGGGTTGGGCTACTAACCACCAGGTCCGCTGTTGGAAAACTACTTAGCAGCTGCAGACAGAGGAAGATGAGGTTTCCTGTTCTCATAAATACTTACAGCCTCGGAAACCCACAGGGCCAGTTCTCTCCTGTCTATGTAGTCATGGTGAGTCAGAACAGAAGTGAATTTTTTGCTTGATAGGATACTGTTCTAAAATACTAATTCAACTGTCACAGTATAGTAAAAAATATTGGCTCAGTGAGATGATACAGCAAAATAGTTTTTAAGTGCACTCAAAAGTTTGTCAATAAAAAACTTGCATGTTAATATTTTAGAACAGTGAATATAGAGGACCTTGTATTTGTTCATTAATTTTTCATACATGTATATGTCAAATTTTTATTGCAAGCATTTCCCAGGAACGATCAAAATATTCTTGTGAGTATTGAGCTTCTGTACTTGAAGTCATCTGACACTTTAGGGAGCCTTATATTCCTTAGAAGTGTGCATGCTTCATGTACAGCAGGGAAGGCTGTAACACTGGATCTACTTCTTATTGTCTAAAGAACACTCAAAGGGGAAATTAAACACACTCTAATTTAGAATCTTGCTTCCCTAACTTGTATCTCAACAGAGAAACTAGAGATGACTGAGGATAATCACTCCTTGACAACTGATTTTATCCTCGTGGGATTTTCAGACCACCCAGACCTGAAGACCCTGCTGTTCGTGGTGTTCTTTGTCGTCTATCTGATCACCATGGTGGGCAATCTTGGATTGGTGGTGTTGATCTCCATGGAGCGCCGTCTGCACACACCCATGTACATCTTTCTGGCCAACCTGGCTCTGATGGATTCTTTCTGTTCCTCTGCCATCACCCCCAAGATGTTACAGAACTTCTTTTCTGAGGACAGAATGGTTTCCCTCTATGAATGCATGGTACAGTTTTATTTTTTCTGTCTTGCTGATACTGTGGACTGCTTTCTCCTGGCAGGAATGGCCTATGATCGCTATGTGGCCATATGCAGACCACTGCAGTACCACACGATCATGTCAAAGGAACTCTGCATTCGGATGATCATAGGAGCCTATATAGCCGGGAACCTACATTCCATGGTTCATGTAGGGCTTTTATTTAGGTTAACTTTCTGTGGATCTCATCAGATCAATCACTTTTATTGTGATGTTCTTCCATTATACAAACTCTCCTGTGTTGATCCTTATATTAACGAACTGATGATACTTATTTTTGCAGGTTCAATTCAAATATTAACTATTACTATAGTCTTAATTTCTTATCTTTTCATCCTTGTCACTATTTTCCACATGAAATCCAAAAAGGGAAGAAGCAAAGGCTTATCTACTTGTGCATCACATTTTCTCTCTATACTAATATTCTATGGTTCTCTTCTCTTCATATATATTTTGCCTCATTCAGATAAAGAAAATAATACAGATATACCGATTGCTATTTTTTATACTCTAGTAATCCCCTTTTTAAACCCTTTTATCTACAGTCTAAGAAATAGAGAAGTAATAAATGCTATGAAAAGAATTAAGAAGAGATAATATTTTGAAACAAATATTCCCATTGACAAATTGTTTTTTCGGTAAACTTTTTAGAGTCAAGAATACAGAGCAATTGGAAAATGACCACTTAGTTTGTGAAATCTCTAAATCATTTTGATTTTTTTGGTCACATTATTGTATCAATGATTACATATGTTCAGAAAGGAGACAACCTGCTATAACATATTTTTCAAAATCTCAACTACTAGCACACTAATGTTCCAAGATAAAAAATAGTGTCAGAGTGGAATTAGCAATAGTTTTCAACATACCCAACAAAGTATAGAAATAAACGTTAGTACATAAAGGTAATTTCCATTGATTGTTGGCAAATTTATGGAATCCCTAATATGATCTTACAAACACACATTTCAGGTTCTCACATATTAATTACTGAAGCCATATCTTCTACCAGGTGTAAACTGTGCATGTGCATTTGAATGTGATTAACAAATTTCCTTCAGTTGTTCAGGAGTTTATGTTTGCATATGAATTTATACAGAATATGTATTTTCAAGGCCAGAGCATATTTATCACTAATGTTTTAAGATTTATTTTCTATCAAGCTGTGCATGCTGGAAACATTCCTCTTGAGTTGGAAATGCTGCTATTTACATTGAAAGTCCTATGGATTGGATAATAGCTTTGTAGTTTTCCACGATGTATAGCAATGTAATATCTGTGTACATCAATTAATTCAACGGTGTGTTCCTGGATAGTATTACTTGTCTGGTTTGTTATTAAAAATATCAATTATCTGAATCAATTCTAATGGAAATTATTGGTATATTATTTTTATTTTATTTTATTGGGGGCCCTTACAGCTCTTATCACAATCCATACATACATATATCCATTGTGTCAAACACATCTGTGCATCTGTTGTCATCATCTTTTTTCAAAACATGTTCTTTCTACTTGTGCCCCTAACATCAGCTCCTCATTTCCCCCCTCTCTCTCCCACCTTCCCTCACTGATGTCCCCTTGATGATTTATAAATCATTCTTTTTTTTCATGTCTTACACTGACCCCTGTCTCATTTCACCCATTTTTCTGCTGTCCCTCTCCCTGGATCGGGGGTGGGGGGGGCATATGTCAATCATTGTGATCTGTTCCCCCTTACTCTTCCTACCCCTACCCTTACCCTCCTAGTATCACTGCTCCCATCATTGGTTCTGAGGGGGTTATCTGCTCTGGACTCCCTGTGTTGTGGGTTACTATTATCTGTACCAGTACACATGTTCTGGTCTAGCCAGATTTGTAAGATAGAATTGGGATCATGACAGTGGGGGGCGGGGACAGCGAGCGTTGAAGAACTAGAAGATAGTTGTGTGTTTTGTTGGTGCTATACTGCACCTTGACTGGCTCTTCTCTTCCTTGTGGCCCTTCTGACAGGGGGTGTCCAATTCCACTCTGCCCTCCCCCTCATTCCCATTGATATGTTTTTTTGTTTGTTTGTTTGTTTGTTTTGTTTTGGATCTTTGATGCCTGATACCTGATCCCATTGACACCTTATGATCACACAAGGCTGGTGTGCTTCTCCCATGTGGGCTTTGTTGCTTCACAGCTAGATGACCGCTTGTTTATCTTCAAGTATTTATGACCCCTGATGCTATATCTTTTGGATGTGTCTGATCTGACCCCCACACCGGGTGAAACACTAAGTGTGTGCAGCAGCGCAACAAGGGGAGCAAAGCAAGGAAGCCCCCGGGAATGCCCAAGGTGGACTTTGTGGCCAAGGCGTGGCATCCCAGCAGATTAGGCTGGAAAACATTCATAAAGGTCAACAGATAACCTGGAACTATGTGAAGGCTTTACAGTTTTAGCTGTTGGCTTTTCTTTCTTTTTTGTTTTATTGTATTAGCTGTTATTTATTTATTTTTGTTGTGTTTTCCTTTGCTTTGTTTTTGCATATATTATTTACTGTGCATGCCTATCTGGACAAGATAGGCAGGATGAACAATCCAGAGGAGAGAACTAGAAGGCAAAGGACATTTATAGAGGTCTAAATACAGGCATGTATATATGTAATACATTTATATACAATGACAGGGGAATAGATCTACATACATATATTTATTTATAAAATACTATAGTAGCAGATGGACATTGGGCCTCCACTCAAGTACACCCTCAATACAAGAACAATTTGTTCTACTAACATGGCACTCTGTGATGGTCACTTTCCCTGACTTGATCGCTGAAGACAAAATGGGTACATTAGCAAATGTGGTGAAGAAAGCTGATGGTGCCCAACTATCAAAAGAGATAGCATCTTGGGTCTTAAAGGATTGGTACATTATTAACATTAGCAGGAAGTAGAAGATGCCACAAGGTAAAATGAGACAGAAAATGGTGGATAGCCTAAACACTAAGCAACAACAAAAATTTTTATTTTACTACTTCAATGTTCAAATACAAAAGAAAAAACAGTTTAAAGAGGACCCTCCCGCCACTAGACACAAACTAGATCTTTCACATATATTATCTTCTAATGAGTTATGTATTATTTTCCATGTTTGCAAAGGTAAAACAAAAGCTGATAAAAACAAACAAAAAACTCCTATTTTGAGGTCCTATGTAGCTGGCTCATGTTAATGTTGGCATCCATCACAATGGATCTGATTCAGTGATACTTTTACTCCATTCTGTTTCACTGATCCTTTCACAGAAACTTAAGTCACAGTTGAAGTAAAAATGCTTACAATCCAATAAGGAAATTGAGCATACAAAAATGGGTGAAAAATACATGTAGATTATGTACAAGAAATTTTAGATTATCTTGGACAACTGCTTGGGGTTTAAGAAAATGAACATCAGTGTATCATGAGATATTTAGTCATAAAATAACATCAGAAATTATATATATTTAAACAGTGAAAAAGTCCTTAGGTGGGAAAGTCAGTTTTAAGAGCATGAGTAGAGTTAATAAGGGAGATGAGGACAGGAGCATAAACCTGGAGAACCATCAGTGAAAGCAGTTGGTGAGTGTGGAAATAAGCATGGAAATTTATCTGTTTACTGAGAATTTTAAATGCCCAATTAGGGAATGTGGCTCTATCATGGAGTCATCAAACATTGGAATGTTCATGGCAGCAAATTTCTTTTAGAAACGTTTCCTGGAATTTTATTGAAAAGAGAGGCTAGAAACAATGAGACTAAATGCAATAATTAGTAGATGGTAAGAGTTGATATTTGTAAAGCCTCTAAAGAAGAAAAGAGGGTTATAAATATGGACATCATTTTCAGGAGGAACAAATGTCAATAGTAACTTCAGGAAAATAAAATCAAAGCCTCCAACCTTCTTGTGAGTAAAACCTTATCATAACTGACTATATATAACTTACTATAATTCTGAAAATAAGTGGACATCCAATAAACATTTTCTAACAACATGATGTGACTGTAAAAACATGTTTCTTACTCGTGAATTCAAATATACCTCACATATTTAGTTGCCATTTACCTTTTTCTGAATATCACCAGTTCATGTTCTTTGCCCACATTTCAAAGACCTTGTTCTTTTTCTTGTTGTTTATGTACCATCACTTACGTGTCAGGGAAATACGAAAAGATCTGCAGTTACAAAAGCAAACGAAAAGCACATGATCATGATTCTTTCTGCTGCCTTAATACTAAACCTATATCTATATGCACATAGATCTATTTCCCCACCATCCTATATAAATTTATATATAGGAAAAAAACCCAAAGAATAATGCTGAGCAAATAATCCATGAAGAACACGGCATCAGGATTGCTTACTAATGATGCAATATACAGATGACACAACCTTGTTTAATGAAGGCGAGGAGGACGTGAAGCACTTGCTGATGAAGATCAAGGATTATATCTTTCAATATGGAGTACAACTGAATGTAAACAAAACCAAATTCTCACAACTGGACCAATAAGTAACATCATGATAAACAGAGAAAAGATTGAAGTTGTCAAGGATTTCCTCTTGCTTGCTTCCACAATCAATAATCATGGAAACAGTAGGTCAAATGATACATTACATTGGGTAAATATGCTGCACAAGATCTCACTAAAGTGCTAGAGTGAGAATATTACTTTGAGGTTTAAGATGGGTTTGAGGGGCCCTGGTGGTGCAGTTGTTATGCATTGCGCTGCTAGCTGCAAGGTCAGCAGTTTAAAAGCATCAGAAAGTCTGGGGGGAAATCAGGCTTTCTAAGCCCATAATGAGTTACAATTCAATTCTGTCCTATAGGGTCAATATGAGCCAGAATTGACTCGATGGTAGTGAGTTTGGATGTTTTGTGGATCCAAGGCCTGATATTTTTCCCTTGATTCACATGCATGTGGACATTGGAAATTAATGGACAATTCTGAGGATGGCACATGCCCAAGCAATGTTTCATTCCATTGCATGTAGCATTGGTATGATTTGGAGTATACTCATTACACCTAACAAATATGACAAGCAATTTTAGATTAATGTCATGAGTTGTTGAACGTTAAGTCACTATATACCTCCTTTAAGCATTTTAAAAGTCACTTTAAAAAGTAATATCACTTCTATGATGCTCACCTTCCCGACACAACCGCTGAAGACAAAGCGGGTGAATAAGCAAATGTGGTGAAGAAAGCTGATGGTGCTCGGCTATCAAAAGATATAGCGTCTGGGGTCTTAAAAGCTTGAAGGTAAACGAGCGGCCATCTAGCTCAGAAGCAGCAAAGCCCACATG